CGTTGAGGAATTGCGGGTATCGTTCCACAATACCCTGCGTTCCCCGGAAGACACAGTAGGTCCGCTGGGTTAGCTGGAACGTTCGTTACTGACGGAGGTGGCTTCCCCCTAGCGAAGCCCTTGAGGAAGCCAGACGCAGGTCAGGGTTGGATTTGGAATTACCCATGGATAGCGTCAGCGGGATAGCGCATCTATAGCGTAACCCCACATCGAGGGCAATCGAGTGCACCTCTCTGTATGCGAATATTTCCGGCACACGATGTACGCAGGTTGGCCTTTTTTGCTCCATTCCAGGAGACGTTTCACGTCTCTAGTAACTAAGCTTATCTCCAAATACAAACCCCGGACCAGATCATTTACGCGAGGGCTGCAACATGTTGACAAATTCTCTACTAGCTTCCAAGCTATTTTCTAAGGAACTGACGTCAATTGCCGGGGGATGCTATGAGAATTAAATTGGCTGGAAACCCTTGGGTGGGAAAAAGGTGGGGGGTACTTAACGTGGTCGATCTGAGGGGCAGAGGACAAGGAAGGGACTGAATGAATATAAATAAATGCCAGTGCCATCCTCCTCCTTTGTGACATATTGTATCTCCACCTATCCTCACAGCCATAACGGATTAGTGTCCTTTCGATCCCTTAACTCTTCCTGCTCCAGCTGTGCATCGAAACCCGATCTTTACTTGTCTGCATCAAAACATCATCGACTACCGCTAAAATGACGACTTTCAAGGGACGCTGCCACTGTGGCCAAACCGAGTTCACCGTTAAGATGGAGGCACCTAGCCATATTCTCTGGTAATACATCCTCCCTCTCAGCTTCGAATGAATCTATCTTCTCCAAGTTTTTAGGCAATGCCCGACAAGAGGTCTCTGGCTGTAAGCTAACAACCTCGACGAATCCAGCCACTGCGACGCTTGCAAAGTGATCAACGGCAGCGACTATACACTCAACCAAATCGTTCCCAAAGAAGATTTCGAACTCACCAAGGGCACCCTAGGCTGCTATACCTACACTGGTGATTCCGGTACGCGGCTCTTCCGCTTTTAATCACTCCTTTTGCCACCAACACCTCTCCCAGTTCCCTCCGTCCCGCAACTATCCACAAACGATGAATAGTAAACCTTTTGAAATTACGACCTGCTAACACAAATAAAAACACAATACAGGAAACCCCGTGCACTGTTACTTCTGCCCCAACTGCACCACCCACATCTACCACCACCAGACCGTTGCAGGACCCAAATACGTCATACGTACTGCTGGATTGGAAGGTTACAAGGACTGGCCAGTGGCTGTAGAGATCTACGTGAAGAATAATATAAAATGGCAGCCTACTGTTGCTGCCGCTGACAAGATTTTCCAACTTACTCCGCCGTCTTAAATTTGATGAAAACCACGCGTAACGAATTTCGGGGGCGAGGGAGAAGAAGAGTGGAAAAACGAAACGGGAAAGCGAGGATTAGGCTTGATCTTAGGAAATCAAGTATTACTTTGGATGCTTATTTGAATTGACATGTTTCCGGACCCTCCGGCTTCCTTTAGTAATAGTATAACCACCTTAACTCCATCTCCTCCCCCTCGTCCCACTCTCTCCACTCTCCGCGCTGGAATGAGGTAGTTAGTTGCGATTGCATAAAGTGAAATCAGAATTGGAAATCGCTTTGATGAACATATACATGTATAATGTCTTTTATCTCTCACCCGTGATCTATCTATAGCTAACGGGTACTGGAAGAATATCCGATATTCCAACTATATCAACTCAATTCTCCCCAGCTAACTAGACAAACCCACCAATTACCCAGTGCATGGATATAGAAAGAAGCTATGATCAGTAAATATTAAGTCCTCAAAGAAAAGAAAACAAGAAAAATAAAATAAAATAAAATAAAAAAATAAATAAACAAAAATCCAAAATACCAATTCCACCCATCACCCCCTACCCAGAACTAACGGGCGGAATAATCGCCACCTCCTCCCCAGGCCCAATAATCCGCACCTCCTCACCCTGTACTTCCCCTTCTCCGCCTTCTTCTTTACCATCTTTCCCATCCAACTTTGCCGCGTTGGCGTCGGCCGCAGCGACATCAACATACTCCAACCCAACACTAACCGCACAGCTCACAAGCACCTTTTCTTTAATACCCGGATATCGCGACTCGAGCAAGTCGAAGAGTTTGGGGAGCGGGAATGGCGCGGGGAAGGACTCTGTTTGCTTTCTCGTGTAGGAAGAGGCGGTTGAGAAGTAGTGGATTTGGAAGGTTGGGGGGGGACATTGTTTGGTGGTGTTTTTTTTTTTTTTTGTTTGTTTATTTTGGGGGAGGGTAATGGGGGAGGGGGGAGGGGTTGAGTTTGACTGTCTTGCTCGTCTGTTCTTCGTGCTCTGTCAATAGGTGTAGACGAAGAAGTGTTGAATTGAGTAGGCACTTTTTAAACGGGAGCAAAGCAAGAGGGCAAGTGGCGGAAGTGTTATATTATATTCGTATATCGGGATTCAACAACATGCTTCTGGTAAGGAGCGCTCCTTGGAGAGGAACTAAGAGCAGATCCAGATCCCCTCCGAGCCGTCTTCTCCCCCTCCGGCTCCAAATCTCTCACTCACAACCAAGTAATCAATCAAAACCCCTCCAATCACAGTTCCACAAGTTGTTTGCGCCTCGTCCTTCGTCGCCAGACACTGGGATTTGATCGAACGGGAAATTCGGGGAATTAGCTCAGAGTCAGACCCACGTATCGGGAACCGGATAAGGGAAAGTTTTATCTCTCTTTTTCTCGTTATGTATATGTAAATGTGCTCTGCGCGGGGGAAAGTGGTTGGTTTGACGCGGAGTGCGGCTCGTTATCGTTTTCTTATCGAAGATGGGGGCGATGACTAAGAGAGTTAAGGTCATTCGTTCTATATCCATTATGACAATGGGAATCGAAGAACGGAAGGGGATTATATAGTTATCACTACGAAGATTTAAATAATAATAGCTATATAGAGTATTTGGGTGAGAGTGGTAGTTATATTGGCTGGCTAGCTAGTAAAAAAATTGGTCCATGAGGGCGACTGAGTGAAGGCAAGAGGATAGATAGATCTATATATCAATCGTCCGGCAAAATAACAGCATATAACAACCACCCGCATTATTGACTAAGGCAAAGTTATGATAACTATATGGAGCTTATTTATTTATTTATTTATTTTATTTTTGCACAAAATCTACCCTTTAATCACCTCCCTCATCGCCTGCACCAAATCCCCCTTCAAATCCTCCCAATTCTCCAACCCAACACTAAGCCGCAACAGCCTCTGGTCAACCGTCGGATCCGTCATCGCCCTCCACTCAATCAGCGACTCCACCCCTCCCAGGCTCGTCGCATGGTGGAACAGCCTAAGCTTCGTCGGCAGTAACCGCGAAAACCTCTCCTCCCTCAACGTGATCGAAAACACCGTCCCAAACCCATTCGGCATCTGCTTCCTCACCCACTCCTCCCTCTGCAAACTGGCATGCTGGACCGTCTCAACCGCAGCATGGACAATCGCCTCCTCACTCCCCTCTTTAACATCCGCCCCCGCCATCCTCAACGCCCCGTCAATGAACTCCACAAGCCTCGCCGCACTGGCACTCTGCCGCTGGACGCGAACCTCCAGCGTCCGCAGGCTCCTCACCCCCAACCACCCCTCCATATTCCCCATGACAGACCCCAGCAGCAACCGATCCCCCACCAACCCGCTCTTCCACTCCGCCCGCTTCATCGCCAGCACCCCGCACAACATATCGCTGTGCCCGCCCAGATACTTCGAGCCGGAGTGCAACACCAGATCCGCGCCCCAGCGGAACGGATCCTGCAGCCCGGGTGGACCGAACGTGCTGTCGACCAGCAGATACGCGCCGCGCGCATGCGCCTTGTCGGCGTAGTGCTGGATGTTAAACGCCGTGCCGTGCGGGTTCACTGGCGTCTCGAGCAGGACGACGTCGCCGCGCTGCAGGTCGTCGGCCGGGCAGTCGAGGGCGAGCTTCTGCAGGCCGCTTAGCCGGGTGTGCACGGCGATGACGCCATGGGAGCCGTGGTAGCCGTCGCCGACGGCGATGCGACGAGGGTTGAGGAATACGAGGGCGGCGTGGAGGGCGGCGAGGCCCGAGCTGTAGGAGACCACGTGCCCGTTGAGGAGGGACTTGAGGATTGTTTCGAAGCGGGTGTTGTTTGGGTTTGTGTGGCGGGAGTAGATATGGGAGGTTGCGGGGAGGTTGGCGAGCTGGATCGTAGGAAACGTACAGATTAGATGGTGGGGTGGTTGGGTTAATTGGGGCAATTGAGTCTTATCGAGACGACATAGAATAGAATAGAACAGAACAGAATAGAGATGGAGATTAGGATTAGGAACATACGGTTTGGTTGTCAGACCAGGGCTCCAGGTTATCGGGGTTGTTGGAGTATCTGAAGGTCGTTGAGAGGTGGAACGGCGGCGCAACATCCGCGACAACATTGAGATCGTCGTCTGCATGCAGGGCCAGGGTGGCCGGGTGGTGGGAGGACTGGGAAGAATCCAATCCAGCCATGTCCGCGAACTGATATTTTTCTTCCTGAAATGTGATGCACCAAAAGTGTGAGGGGCAAAATATATAAAACGGGTGTCGCAAGGGCAAATAAATAATTATTTATCTAGATCGATTTTGCCCCCTCGGCTAAGAACCACGCCCTTTAACAACAGCCCAGGCGGATATCGGGATCCCACATCTCACTTGATGAATTCCAGTGCTTCACTAGGTTGACACCCTTCGTCCCGGCAGGCAGCATTAATGGCTCACGGCTCGCCTCGAGCGGGGACAGGTAGGGTTCGCAGGGCTCGCTCGCAAGCGTGAGTAACCGTGAGTAACTGACGCCAGTCAATCCTTTGAAACTTCCCGGCATCATCATCATCATCACCATCACCATGGGCGGTTGGAGAGTAATCCCGTACAGATACGCAATCACTCAAACCAACCCTGAAACCTCAGCGAAGAAAGGAGCCTGAATTCTGGGGAACGAGCGCGACGAATGGAATGATGATAATAACTAGATAATCTTTTTTCCATCCCAGTAATTCCCTGCACTCGCAAAAGGAGGTATAGGCTTTTTTAACCCCATCACCGTCATTTCTTTTGCAAATATTTTTCTGCATTGCATTCTTCATGTGTTATAGCTAGGTAGGCAGACAGACAGATATATAGGAGTCATAGGAAGAAAATTTAAAAGAGAGAAAGACGCTTCTACTGTGAATATCCTGAATAAAGAATGAATATAAATATGGAGATTAAAAAGAAAGAAAAATATATAAATAAAATAGAACGAATGGCTAGTTACCACATAGATCAATCAAGTTCTTCGCAAATAAATAAATAAATAAAACAAGATAAATAAAAGCTTTGCTGACAACGCATATAACAACCCCTTCACGGTTTCAAGTATGCAATTCATGAATGGACTGAGTTTACTTACTTAGGCACAAACAAATAAAAAGCGAATAAAAAAA